AACACCATGTCAGAATGGAGGAACCTGCACTTTTGTTGATAGTACTCGAACTTGTGGATGTCCTAGCACCCACCAGGGAGTAAACTGTGAAACAGGTAACTTATATGTAAACGTTTTTCTAATTCATTTTGTATCAAACTTTCAACAAAAACTTAAAATTCGATTTAAAATACGTGTATTTGCGGCTCATTCTATCTACTTTTCATCACTTTTTTTCTTCAGAGATTGACCTTTGTGATGTAACACCATGTCAGAATGGAGGAACCTGCACTTTTGTTGATAGTACTCGAACTTGTGCATGTCCTAGCACCCACCAGGGAGAAAACTGTAAAACAAGTAACTTATATGTAAATGTTTTTCCAATTCATTTTGTATCAAGCTTTCAACAAATAGTTAAATTCAAATTAAAATACGTGTATATATGACTTATTCTCTCTACTTTGCATCTCTTTTTTTCTTCAGAGATTGACCTTTGTGTAGAAACACCATGTCAGAATGGAGGAACCTGCACTTTTGTTGATAGTACTCGAACTTGTGGATGTCCTAGCACCCACCAGGGAGTAAACTGTGAAACAGGTAACTTATATGTTAACGTTTTTCCCATTCATGTTGTATCAAGCTTTCAACAAATAGTTAAATTCAAATTAAAATACGTGTATATGCGACTTATTCTCTCTACTCTTCATCTCTTTTTTTCTTCAGAGATTGACCTTTGTGTAGAAACACCATGTCAGAATGGAGGAACCTGCACTGTTGTTGATAGTTCTCGAACTTGTGCATGTCCTAGCACCCACCAGGGAGTGAACTGTGAAACAGGTAACCTATATTTCAATTTTTTTCCAATTCATTTTGTATCAAGCTTTCAAAAGAAAGTTAAATTCGTTTTAAAACACGTGTATATGCGACTCATTCTATTTACTTTTCAATTCTTTTTTTCTTCAGAGATTGACCTTTGTGTAGAAACACCATGTCAGAATGGAGGAACCTGCACTTTTGTTGATAGTACTCGAACTTGTAGATGTCCTAGCACCCACCAGGGAGTAAACTGTGAAACAGGTAACTTATATGTAAACGTTTTTCTAATTCATTTTGTATCAAACTTTCAACAAAAACTTAAAATTCGATTTAAAATACGTGTATTTGCGGCATATTCTATCTACTTTTCATCACTTTTTTTCTTCAGAGATTGACCTTTGTGATGTAACACCATGTCAGAATGGAGGAACCTGCACTTTTGTTGATAGTACTCGAACTTGTGCATGTCCTAGCACCCACCAGGGAGAAAACTGTGAAACAAGTAACTTATATGTAAACGTTTTTCCAATTCATTTTGTATCAAGCTTTCAACAAATAGTTAAATTCAAATTAAAATACGTGTATATATGACTTATTCTCTCTACTTTTCATCTCTTTTTTTCTTCAGAGATTGACCTTTGTGTAGAAACACCATGTCAGAATGGAGGAACCTGCACTTTTGTTGATAGTACTCGAACTTGTGGATGTCCTAGCACCCACCAGGGAGAAAACTGTGAAACAGGTAACTTATATGTAAACGTTTTTCCCATTCATGTTGTATCAAGCTTTCAACAAATAGTTAAATTCAAATTAAAATACGTGTATATGCGACTTATTCTCTCTACTTTTCATCTCTTTTTTTCTTCAGAGATTGACCTTTGTGTAGACACACCATGTCAGAATGGAGGAACCTGCACTTTTGTTGATAGTACTCGAACTTGTGGATGTCCTAGCACCCACCAGGGAGTAAACTGTGAAACAGGTAACTTATATGTAAACGTTTTTCTAATTCATTTTGTATCAAACTTTCAACAAAAACTTAAAATTCGATTTAAAATACGTGTATTTGCGTCTCATTCTATCTACTTTTCATCTCTTTTTTTTCTTCAGCGATTGACCCTTGTGTAGAAACACCATGTCAGAATGGAGGAACCTGCACTTTTGTTGATAGTACTCGAACTTGTGCATGTCCTATCACCCACCAGGGAGTAAACTGTGAAACAGGTAACTTATATTTCAACGTTTTTCCCATTCATTTTGTATCAAGCTTTCAAAAGAAAGTTAAATTCGTTTTAAAACACGTGTATTTGCGTCTCATTCTATCTACTTTTCATCACTTTTTTTCTTCAGAGATTGACCTTTGTGTAGAAACACCATGTCAGAATGGAGGAACCTGCACTTTTGTTGATAGTACTCGAACTTGTGGATGTCCTAGCACCCACCAGGGAGTAAACTGTGAAACAGGTAACTTATATGTAAACGTTTTTCCAATTCATTTTGTATCAAGCTTTCAAAAGAAAGTTAAATTCGTTTTAAAACACGTGTATTTGCGTCTCATTCTATCTACTTTTCATCACTTTTTTTCTTCAGAGATTGACCTTTGTGTAGAAACACCATGTCAGAATGGAGGAACCTGCACTTTTGTTGATAGTACTCGAACTTGTGGATGTCCTAGCACCCACCAGGGAGTAAACTGTGAAACAGGTAACTTATATTTCAACGTTTTTCCAATTCATTTTGTATCAAGCTTTCAAAAGAAAGTTAAATTCGTTTTAAAACACGTGTATTTGCGTCTCATTCTATCTACTTTTCATCACTTTTTTTCTTCAGAGATTGACCTTTGTGTAGAAACACCATGTCAGAATGGAGGAACCTGCACTTTTGTTGATAGTACTCGAACTTGTGGATGTCCTAGCACCCACCAGGGAGTAAACTGTGAAACAGGTAACTTATATGTAAACGTTTTTCTAATTCATTTTGTATCAAACTTTCAACAAAAACATAAATTCGATTTAAAATACGTGTATTTGCGTCTCATTCTATCTACTTTTTATCACTTTTTTTCTTCAGAGATTGACCTTTGTGATGTAACACCATGTCAGAATGGAGGAACCTGCACTTTTGTTGATAGTACTCGAACTTGTGGATGTCCTAGCACCCACCAGGGAGTAAACTGTGAAACAAGTAACTTATATGTAAACGTTTTTCCCATTCATGTTGTATCAAGCTTTCAACAAATAGTTAAATTCAAATTAAAATACGTGTATATGCGACTTATTCTCTCTACTTTTCATCTCTTTTTTTCTTCAGAGATTGACCTTTGTGTAGAAACACCCTGTCAGAATGGAGGAACCTGCACTTTTGTTGATAGTTCTCGAACTTGTGCATGTCCTAGCACCCACCAGGGAGTAAACTGTGAAACAGGTAACTTATATTTCAACGTTTTTCCAATTCATTTTGTATCAAGCTTTCAAAAGAAAGTTAAATTCGTTTTAAAACACGTGTATATACGACTCATTCTATTTACTTTTCATCCCTTTTTTTTCTTCAGAGATTGACCTTTGTGTAGAAACACCATGTCAGAATGGAGGAACCTGCACTTTTGTTGATAGTACTCGAACTTGTGCATGTCCTAGCACCCACCAGGGAGTAAACTGTGAAACAGGTAACTTATATGTAAACGTTTTTCTAAATTATTTTGTATCAAACTTTCAACAAAAACTTAAAATTCGATTTAAAATACGTGTATTTGCGGCTCATTCTTTCTACTTTTCATCACTTTTTTTCTTCAGAGATTGACCTTTGTGATGTAACACCATGTCAGAATGGAGGAACATGCACTTTTGTTGATAGTACTCGAACTTGTGCATGTCCTAGCACCCACCAGGGAGAAAACTGTGAAACAAGTAACTTATATGTAAACGTTTTTCCAATTCATTTTGTATCAAGCTTTCAACAAATAGTTAAATTCAAATTAAAATACGTGTATATATGACTTATTCTCTCTAATTTTCATCTCTTTTTTTCTTCAGAGATTGACCTTTGTGTAGAAACACTATGTCAGAATGGAGGAACCTGCACTTTTGTTGATAGTACTCGAACTTGTGGATGTCCTAGCACCCACCAGGGAGAAAACTGTGAAACAGGTAACTTATATGTAAACGTTTTTCCCATTCATGTTGTATCAAGCTTTCAACAAATAGTTAAATTCAATTTAAAATACGTGTATATGCGACTTATTCTCTCTACTTTTCATCTCTTTTTTTCTTCAGAGATTGACCTTTGTGTAGAAACACCATGTCAGAATGGAGGAACCTGCACTTTTGTTGATAGTACTCGAACTTGTGGATGTCCTAGCACCCACCAGGGAGAAAACTGTGAAACAGGTAACTGATATGTAAACGTTTTTCCCATTCATTTTGTATCAAGCTTTCAACAAATAGTTTAATTCAAATTAAAATACGTGTATATGCGACTTATTCTCTCTACTTTTCATCACTTTTTTTCTTCAGAGATTGACCTTTGTGATGTAACACCATGTCAGAATGGAGGAACCTGCACTTTTGTTGATAGTACTCGAACTTGTGCATGTCCTAGCACCCACCAGGGAGAAAACTGTGAAACAGGTAACTTATATGTCAACGTTTTTCCCATTCATTTTGTATCAAGCTTTTAACACCATGTCAGAATGGAGGAACCTGCACTTTTGTTGATAGTACTCGAACTTGTGGATGTCCTAGCACCCACCAGGGAGAAAACTGTGAAACAGGTAACCTATAAGTCAACGTTTTTCCAATTCATTTTGTATCAAGCTTTCAACAAAAACTTAAAATTTTATTTAAAACACGTGTATATGCGACTCATTCTATCTACTTTTTATCACTTTTTTTCTTCAGAGATTGACCTTTGTGTAGAAACACCATGTCAGAATGGAGGAACCTGCACTTTTGTTGATAGTACTCGAACTTGTGGATGTCCTAGCACCCACCAGGGAGTAAACTGTGAAACAGGTAACTTATATGTCAACGTTTTTCCCATTCATTTTGTATCATGCTTTTAACAAATAGTTAAATTCAAATTAAAATACGTGTATATGCGACTTATTCTCTCTACTTTTCATCTCTTTTTTTCTTCAGAGATTGACCTTTGTGATGTAACACCATGTCAGAATGGAGGAACCTGCACTTTTGTTGATAGTACTCGAACTTGTGGATGTCCTAGCACCCACCAGGGAACAAACTGTGAAACAGGTAACATATTATGTCGAAGTTTTTCCAATTTATTTGATATCAATCTTTTAACGCATATTTCATTTGAAATATTACTTTCAATTTTGTTAACTTTTGATTTTGATAAAAATGTTCCCATTCATTTTTTCCCAGTACATTAAAATCGTTTCTGCAGCCTTTTTTCCCCTCCCGTATTTAGTTTAATTGCATGATTCTTTTTCTTCAGTATTTTACTTTACCTTTATTTTTTGATAAGAACATTGAATTGAATTGGTTTGGTTTATTGAAAAATCACATCAAACAAGCAGCTCGCAGGCTGAAAATGTTCAATTTACAAACAAGTTAAAATATAGAGAGATTTAAACATATACAAAACTAAAATACATATTGTAAGTCAACCTTTGCAGAAATTATTTAGCATTGGTAACATGACATCCAAATTGCAAAACAAAGTTACAAGTTTAATGTAATAATACACTTTCATGTTGAAAGGAGAGAATGGAGAAGAAAAAAGGAAATTGTTTGAGCGAAAGAGTTGAGAAAGTATTTAACAATTGCTATACAAACATTTCTATTGCAAAAAATGAAATTAAGCATAACAAAATGCGTATTGGATGAAATGAAATTAAACCGTAAAAGTCAAATTAACAGTTTCTATTCCGTTTTCCCCTTTAATATAAATGTAATGACAGCATTCATCTAGATCGAGAAAGTTGTTCAATGAAATTAGAATGAGTATTTAAATAACAATATGTGTGATTTCGAATTGATATTGCACATTAAATTGGAGAAAAAGACCCAAATCAAATAATTGGGAAGGGCATAAATTTGTATTAAAAAAATAAACACTAATGAACTAATGACACAACGGATTGAAATATGTTTACAGTTTGAGGCAATCTGAGAGTTAATTAAATAAAAGTGTATGTTGCAACCGTAATATTATACCGGTTTGTTTAAAACCAAAAATCTATTGATGTGCAGGAGAAAAAGAAAGTTGGCTCTAGTCAGTCTGGTTTTTCTCCTTCTCTCTGCTTGTCCGCCTTTCTTCTGTATTTCTAGTTTATTTTATCTGTCCTTGGGGATACATACTGTACTAAATATTTTTCACTTTATTTTACTTACATTTTAAGTGACTGATAATTTTAAAGCTAAACTACCTCCTGTCTGCCTGTTTGTCTCTCTCTTTCTCTCTCTTTTTCTCATACGCTTTCTCCCTCTCTCTCCCTCTCTGTCTGTCTCTGTTCTGTTTTAGCTCATTATGTTTTTGTCCAACGTATCTTTCTTGTTCTCTTTTTTTTTCTCCAGAGATTGACCCCTGCGATGCAGCACCCTGTCAAAATGGAGGAACATGTTCTTCGAGTAACTCTGTTTACTTATGTCAGTGCCCAAACACGCATGAAGGGTCAAACTGTGAAGTTGGTGAGTGTAGATGACCTTACATATTCAAGGCTTTTAAGTCATCTTTTACAAGATCGCAATAAACATAAAAGTAAGACGAAATTTGTAAAACTAGATGTAAGTTTAAGAAGAATGTAATGATATTTCGAACTTATTCCTGAGGTTCGAGATCAGACATGAATTTCTAGGCCAATAATGGAAGCTCCTTTCGGCGGCCGTCACGTCGTGACGCTCCTGCATGGCGCTCTATATCATTACCCCTGTCCGGCAAAGCCGAGCGGCCAAAATATGTAGCGTTTTGGCATATCGGGTACACATTAACTTCCGGGTTAAGAGTGGCAAATGTGGATAAATGTCTGCCAAAGGACGTTAGTGCCAAGCTAGGATTTGAACTTCCAATTCCACTTCCGCAGAACGTCCGTTCTATCATGGACATTAAATGTTTTTAATAAAAAGCTTTTTATCTTTCTTTCCTACTTTCTTCATCGTGTTAATGATGTCGCATGGTTGCTATGGAAACAGCTAAGTCTGTATGCAGTGTAACGGAATGTGCTACGAGTGAAACATGTAATCCTGAAACAAACACATGTGAATGCAGTGGAAATCTTGTTAGACGGCCTAACGGGCGATGTAGAAGTAAGTCAATCATGTCATCATTTTTTTTTTCAATCAATTTTTATCGGGTGAGATAGAGGGAATTCCACCTGGGATTTTATAAATCTCAGTTGTATACATATTTTGCGACAGTTATGAGAAAGAAAAATGTAAATTTAACATTTGTTTGTTAAATAAACGTATGATTATTTTGTTTTAACATAAAAGTATAGCTGATGACAGAAACAGGTACAAAAATGTCAATGATTACCTTATCTTAATCTCGTTATAATGATGACATAATAAATATGGCATCTACGGGAACTAAGACTTGGCTTAAAATTCCTCGCCTGTTTGTCTTTTTTTCATTGAAGGACCTCGTACTATATCGATCTTCATCGCTATCGTGATCATTGACGATATCACATCTTTCGATGACATCATTAATAATCCTGAATCACCAACCGCCTTAGCCATCAGACAACGCATTGTGCTCATGGTAAGATGTCATAAATATTACAAATATACAACCTGTGTGTTGGCTCAGTCAGTAGAGCGTCCGCCTCACAACCGGGAGGTCATGGGTTCGAACCCCGGCCGCGTCATACCAAAAGACGTTAAAAGACGAGAGTTGCTGCTACCTTTTCAGGACTACACACACTCAAGAAAAAATATTATCGAGAGTCCTTTTCAGGACTTCCCAATCCTCCCTCTCTCTCACATGGTGCAACCGCAAGCCTACTATTCACCAAAATTATTATTATCATTATTGTTTTCTCTTACATTTACCACGTTTATGTACGTTTGCTTTGTCATTCTTTATTGACCCACAGTTGTATGGTATCTACCGGCGTCGATATGGCAATCTCTTCTACGGCATCGTCATAAATTCCTGGCGACTTGGAAGTCTTGAAGTCGATACAGACGCCATGTTTATTGACCCAGACAATGCTACGTCGGTACAAACGCCTACACCAGGAGAAGTAGCTGAGGTATTCACAGATGGTATATCCAATGGTAATACTACATATGGTATTACAGTAGATGACTCGAGAACGGTCGCTTCAGGTAAGACTCGTTCACCCTTATTGGTTACGATAATTCAGCTCAATACAATTAATTTTCATAATTTAATTAAAATTACAATAATTCAAACAGATAAAATGCACATAGCCTATAGAGATTCATAGAAAATTACAGATTTATGAGAAAGTTACAAATATGAATGAAAAAAGACGATGAAATGAAAAAATGCAACAGAATATACAATATGACAATAATGCAATACATTAGACTCCACGTAATAGGGTAACATATAGAGGATAGGCTACTTCTGTTAATGGGGTAGGATAAGAACAAAAAACTCTTCTTCATGTCATAGAAACTTCCCATTTAATTGATTAATCCTGTTAATTGGGTAAAAAAAAGGGGTCTTATCCAGCCTTACGCGATTATGCGGAGAGGGCAGTATACAGTATTATCACAGACCGGTTTGCGTCTTATATTTTCGTACCACGGCGAGCCAAGATTCCAGTATGTACTCATTTTCATACAGAACAAGCTAGGAAAGCTTGCAAAGAGGTCACAAACAATTGGACTTTGATTATTTATTGCTTTGCCTCACTATTTATAAAGGCAAAAATACTCAATAAACTGAGATTTGAACCTCACGTCAAGTCCACAGTTCTATTAGTATCACGCTGTCTTTAGCTATTGAGCTAACGATGAGTTGATGAAAGAATGAATTGTATAATTACTATTACCCTATTAGCCACCCTACCGGATTCCACGTGCGCATGCGCTGGTTTCCTTCGCGAGTGCGCACGCGCAGGTTCCCCTCGCGGGCTCAATCTGGGCTCGCCGTGGTACGAAAAAATAAGACGCGACCGGTTTAAGGGATAGGTCAGAAATAATAACAAGGACATAGAATGTACCCATAGTCATCGTCGGATACAGGCCATTTTCAAAAACGACTTTACTTCATATCCAACTTACAAATATGTGACAAGAGAAAAAACAACATGGAGACAGTGAGAGAGAGAGAAAGGGACAAAGAAAGAAACAGGAAAACCAAAGAAAATATAAATCACCTATATGGATGGTGTGTGTTTCCACAAATATATATGTATAGCACGTTTCTGTTGTTGTTGTTGTTGTTGTTTAGTTTTGTTTGGTAGTGCAGGCTTGAATAGAAAGTGTTTCAGACTTGTATTAATTTATCTACATTTTGAATCTTTTTGACTAAAAGATCAACCCACAAAAAGTTTTTTTTTAACAGAATTCTTTCTTTTATTTCCAGATAAGGACGAGTGTTCTAACAGTACCTTGAATGACTGTAGCCAGAATGCAGAGTGTACAAACACTGACGGTAGTTACGACTGTACCTGTCTTCATGGGTATACGGATACAAGCACTACAGGATCAGAAGCAGGCACTCAGTGTGAAGGTAATACAGTCAAACCTGCTTTAGTGACCACCTGTATACAAAGACCACCTGTCCACAACAAGCACATTTTTGTTTCCCTTGAAAATGGTTTCTCATTGAAACATGTACTAAAGGAACCTGTCTACAACAAGCACATTTTTTGTTTCCCTTGAAAATGGTTTCTCATTGAAACATGTACTAAAGGAACCTGTCTACAACAAGCACACTTTTTGTTTCCCTTGGGCGGTCGCTGTAGACAGGTTTGACTGTACTATAAAAGAGAGATGCTCAATCCTAGTAAATAACAGTTCATGCAGAATTTTTGGTGAAATGTTATAATGATGATATTAGTAATAATATTGATAATACAAATAATAATGATAATAATAATTATAATTATGATAATGATAATAATAATTATAATTATGATAATGATAACAATAATAATAACAATAATAATTGTTGGATTTATTTAGCGCCTTTTCTAGAGAATACAAGGCCCTGTCTCTTAATTTAAGAACAACAAAATATTTTACGAGGTTTGTTTTCAGATGTTTTTTGGAAAAGTCAAGTGAGGTAATATTTCTCAGAAATCATGGAAATGTAGGGACTTTAGGCGTGGTATGGCTATATAAATACAAAAACAGGTATATAATCGATTTGAGTGGAAAAGCATAGACACATCAGACATCAGAAATAATTGATAAAGTGCCAAGAAGATGATTTTTAAGATATCATTAATTAATTGTATTATTATTATCTAAAGAAATCATTGAACAAATTAAGCTAGCACGACTGTTGGGGCTATTAGCTCTACTTTCTAGAAAGTCACCTGAAAAATGGAACATGTACACTGAACCAGCCATCTGACTATTAAATGTCTACTCTTGAAATCTGTAATGAATTTTTATCACCTAGTAAATCATGTAGACAATCTTTCCAATAAATTAGATAGAATATTAATTCAAGTGTATCGAACTTGTCAAATATACGTTTATTGACAGTTGTAGCTTACGGTCTAAGCGATGGAGCCATAGTCGGTCTGGCTGTTGGTAGTGTCATCGTCGTCATGTTGATCGTCATCCTCTCCGTCTGCTCTCTCGTTGCGATGCGTCGTATCATGTATCGACGAAGACTGGCAGTGGAGTCGCCTAACAAGCTGGGTACGATGAGAGAAGCCAGGCGGCCAATCGACTACGGACACTACAGAGATCGTGATTCGATGGGCGATCACCGCCCCGATATGGAGATGGGCTCGAAATCAGGCTATGATGAGGGGCCTTACTACTCTCGAGTGAGTATAGTCTCGATTCATGCTAGTAAATCCATGCCAAGACAACAATGCAGCCACTTGCTACTCACAAAAATAAAAATTTAAAACTGATCTATAATTATGTAAACCTTGGGAAATTACCCAATCGTGCATCGGTAAAACTGTTACATAATTAAGAATGATGACGAAATATATCGCTATGAGAGGCGTATTTCACTTTCTCTCCCTTTTCTCTCTCTCTCTCTCTCTCTCTCTCTCTCTCTCTCTCTCTCTCTATCTCTTTCTCTCTCAATTAATACCTCCTCAGATTTGTTACACAATGTGTTATGTAATTACTATCAAAGAAAATATATAGTTTGCGTAGCTGAAATTCACTCTGCTCCATTTAAACTGTATAATTTTGAAGAGATGTTCCGAATTATGAGAGAATGTTACGCCATCATTCATAATTTGTCAAACTATTCTTTCCTGTTCTTAGGCGCACGATAATGATGGATTTATTCGAGGCTACCTAGCGACAGGAAAGAATGGCTCGGTAAGCTAGAATTTTATCACAGGCCTCAACTGATATTATAGTTCTTATTTTGTTTATTTCTGCGATCAAACCACTAATCCTGCCAAAAGCTGCGGGCAGATATGATGGGCCTTCTGTAGAAGTCTAGATATTCGATTTTTGTTAATTTGTTATTAATTTGTTGTTATTAATCTCCACTGTGCACAATGTCCCTCTGTATGTAAGACAAGAACAGTTTGTTTCGTTATCATACTATATCAATGTCTCTACACAACAGTGGGCATGTGGTAGCGATAAGGGATCCATTTTTATGCATAATTTTGGGTAGCATTAGGGGATCCATGTGCCTTCTTATCTCTCTTGAGCCTTACAAATTAATCAATGTCTATTCTCATTCTACTATATTAGAAGAAATCCATGACTAATGATCAGAATTGTTGGTCATTGATGATTATACTCTTATGTCAATCCCTTGAAACCGTTACAAAAAAGGCGGTGAGCTATTATTGCACCATCAACAACATCCTTTTGACCAATGTTTTCTCCTCCCCTTTTCTGCATTATTACAGGCTCATGGCAAACACTCCTGGAATCATGCAGACAGACGTGCCGATGGATTATTCTAAATGATGGTGGCGGGGGGGGGGGGGGGGGGGTCAAACCAAATATGATTACTAGTTTTCCCAAACTTTCCAGCAGGTAAACCCCTAATAGGTCAACCCTAAAATGAAACATCCTCAGAAGATAGAAATATTGACAAGTTTCTTCCCATTTGCCGACATTGGTGCTAAAATGTGTAATTTGCTGACAACAATAGTACATTTGCATACAGGATTAAGGAATTAAGACGACTAGTTGTACACCCCCCCCCTCCCCCCCCCCCCTCCTCCTTCTCCGCCTCCTTCAGCGTCCAACCTCTACGAAGATTATTTTGGAAACGATCTCATCAGGGAAAAGGAAAAAGTCTGCGTGTCCACCGATTTGTAAAGTTTTATAAAATGCGTTTTTAATTTCAGGTTATTGATTTAATTTTCTATTTAGCTGCTGTGATCCATGCCGGTGTGATATTTGTGATTTTAAAAATCGTTTAAGGGCTATCTAAAATATATTTGTTTTATACTCTCCTCCCCCTGTCTCCTTTCTCTTTTTCTTTCCCCCTCACCCCCTTGGCCTCATGCTTTTCCCACTTCTCTCTCTCTCTCCCCCCTCTCTATTGTAACGTATCGTAGTATGATGATAACGGTAAAACGATCTATATTATGTAAGTTTTTGAAGAGATCTACGTAAAGTCGGAATCTTTTAAGGAACACAATTTTTAAAGTATTTTTTTGTCATCTAATGTGGTGTTATACAAGAAATGTATATAATGTTAATTTTGATGCTCGATCTCAAGTTTAATTTCACCTATAAAAAATGTCTTTAGACAAATTGTAAGACATTATTCATGTAAAACAGAACTGGATCTTGATATTTATTCATTAAAGTTCTATTGTCTGCTTTTTAGGGAACCGGGAACATATTTTGTATCAACGGCAAACAAGTTTGATTTTTTTTAGTAAAGGCATGATGGTTGGATAGTAGAGTGGCAATCTTATACAACCGTGTCCCGGATTAAAAATTAAGTTCATGTGTTATAGTAATAGTGACTTATCATAGTGACCTTATCATAGTGACCTTATTATAATAAGACATTTAACCTTATATTTCCGAGTCTTTCGGGTAGAACTTCAGGCCGTAGGTTTACTCACCCCATAAATACTTGCTTGTTAGCAATTATGTAACAATAGACATCAAGCATAATTAACTGATGATAAGAAGAAAAAAAAATCATGTTGAACAGGTCCCGATTAAATAAGGTTTGGTACCTTTCATAATTGATGATATCGAGATATTTTCTACTTACACAGATATGACTGATATATTATGTCGATGTATGCGGATATTTAAAATCACTATAAAGTATATTAAAAAACTTTGATTACTTATTTTTTTAACTTCTTCTGTAAAATTCGAGAAACTACATGTATGTATGTAATGAATTATGTAGAATGTAAAGTTAACAGTGTCTTCACAGTACCATATGCATACTAATGAACCCGTATTCTACTCAAATGTATAGCCCTAGCTTTGTTAAAAATCGTGTTTAACAATGAAAGTTAGTGTCAGGTCTAAGTTGGCCTTTGTTAAACGTGATCTTAGACCGATGTCTGGCTTGACTTAATTAGTAGAATATGGACCATGATGTTTAACTATATTTATTCAGATACTGCATCTTGTCTTAATAGTATGTTACCAGTCAATCATTGCTTTATATTTATATTTTAATCAAGAAGAATGAAATAAATTAGATTCACTTTAAACTGCAAAAGTTTGCTGGCGGAATAAGTTGCATCCTTCGTATCGGATTATTTCGTTTGTGATTTTTATTTCTATGAAATACAGTTTCCTTCTATGAATTTTAGTAAGTAGCAATACATTATTGGACACGATCGCAAAGACTTTCACGAAATCGGCTACAGTTGCTTTTTCAATACTCTATAAGGGAGTTTACAGATAGCACATGGTACAAATGACCCCAAATATCCACATATATTTTACACATGGAGAAGTTCCACTTTGAGCATCTTAGAATAATAACTGCCAAAGTCCTAGATGTGCTTCATGAATACCTTTTGTTTGACTTCTTGAAAAGAATACTTCCACCTGCGTATCATAGAATGTACCGTTGGTGCATAAATGAATAATGTTACATAACTTTCATGAGCGCATATCCAGTATTCATCTCTGTGGGTTTTACCATTTTGGTACAAATGACCTTTATCTGCCCATGCGCAGATTGTATCTGTAAACTCCCTTATTGTCTTGATTTGCCAATAGAAATCATGTTCGGATTACGTCATCGTCATGTTCACAAACTTCGCTATTTAAAAATTGACACACAAGGCACATGAAATTGCTTTGAGTTTGAGTTTGAGTTTATTGGTTTCACATGTTACATGCAAATACAATACGGATAACAAAATATACATAAAAGACATTGTTTCATAATTGTAAAATATGATTATAGTCATTCACAAATTAATCAGACTACAAAGTTACATATCATCAAATTTGCTTGATAAAGGCACTGTCACAACTGGGTAAACTCAGGTGACTTTAATTCGTGATCTAGTTAAAACTCTCTAATGGTCTCACAGGAAGATTTACACAATGAACAAAGAATTCAAATTCTGTTAAGTGTATCAAAGAATATCATCTTCTTCTTATCTTTATTACTTTACTTCTTATCACAATAGAAATACATATAAAGATATAAAGAATATATTGAACCCAACCCTGAGGTTGTAGTCTTAGCTGTCACAAAGTAACACATTTGTACAGAGTATTGACATTAAAAATGGTCGTAGGTTTATCGTACGTCTGGAGATATAAATAAAATAACCCACTTTAGTGATACAATCACTCTCAAGATGTGATATTAAAATATTGTTCATGGGAATAAAGAAACCATAGTTGTTACTGTTGCTGGAACTTGTTAACCGTAACGAAGGGGTTGCTCCATCGGTAATATCACCTTCATCTCTCCTTAGTCGTTACTGGTAGAGATCCACCCATTGTGGCATGGAACTTTGATAGAGGACTTGTTCTGTAAGTCCTAGCCGGAACACCATCTAAAAGTTAACGTTAACCCATGCTATTAATAGTCTAAGGAATAATACCAAATTATTCATCATCTACTTAATATCTTTTAACGAGACTATAATCATCATCAGGCAATACAATAAAATACATTACAGAAAAGGCTTCTATCATAATGATTTACATTGCATTACAAATATCCTTTCAACATTCGAAAGAGTCTGAATTACTGAGTGCAAATCCTGCGAACATGTACTTTCATTTATTATTCAGAAATGAACAAAATAATGTATAAAGAGTTACATTATTACTTAAGAGAAATGATTTGAAGTCTTCATTATTAATCCCTAATTCAAAGGTTCACTTGTGACCTTGACTGTCTCAATGACAAATGAACACGCCCAATGTATCATTATAAAAAGGAATACAAATATGGATTAAACTTGGATTAAACTTACAGTTTGACTGGTTGACTGAAATGCAGAAAATCGGGGCAGGCCTCAATGTCGGTTCTGATGATCTTGACTCTCTATGGAACTTATACTTGCAGCGCAAAATGCCATGTTTTTGAGCTATGACACAACTTTCATTCACATCCAACCCATAGGTCCTCCCTGTATGACTTGTGTGCAGATAGTGACACTACACTGCTAGGTAAGGCAACCCACCCACTATAGCTATGCTGCTTGCATCACCTGTTGGAGCTATGTAGAGTGCAGTGGAGCCTAACTACCAAATGGGGCCAGTCACCACGAAATGAGTCCAGTGTCGCATTAGCTCAATCGTAGTATAGGTTTTCGGAGGTTTTCCCGCCCAACTTCGTAAACTTAGCATCCGAATTAACGTTACGTTCATTCAAATTCGTGCGAAATTGAATGACTATGTAGATCAACATTCAAAAGGCTAATTGCGTCATTCAATTTGATTTAGGAGCATGCGATTTCATACTTTCGTCACGTTAACGTGCAAAATGAGCATTCAATTTAGAAAAGCGTGCAAAGAGCATTCAAATTCGCATTGGACAGACGGTGGTATGTATTTGAGCATTCAGTTTCGTGAATAGGCATACATATGTGACATTTGTGCATTGCTTTTCATTTAATGTTAATTTGTCACTTTGTATACTTCTGTTTGAATAATTTATGCAAGGATTACTTGTAGGAATGATATGCGTATTCGTTAACAGGTATCTCTCATTACACAGGTAACTTTCCCCAAGAGGAGGCGCGCAATTTTTGACTTCTCTTCTTAGCACAATCTATATCTACAAAGATCCTGTATTATGGCAGCTCGTGTGCAGTACATGAAAATCTCTAACGTCGACAGACGTCGTTTGGTCGAAGCATTCGAAGGAAACGGCCAAGATTATTTAGAACTGGCAGATAATTTAGGGATTAAGCGCTCTACAGCGCGATCCATAGTAGCCACCTATCTGGACAGCGGTAGAATTGAGAAGCTACCAAGAGGCGGGGCACGAAATTCCAAAATAGATGAGGAAATGAAGAACTATCTTCAAGACATCATCGATACCAATCCACTGCTCACGCTTCGGCAAATGAAGGACAAACTCCGGGAAGACCTCCCTCAGAAGCCGGAAGTGTCAACGACCACCATAGCGAGGGCTCTTGACGCCATGCTTATGACACTGAAACTCGCCGAGGACGTACCCGATGCCAGAAACACCCCACGAGTCCTCCAACAACGGGAAGGGTATGCAGAGTGGTTTCTCGAGCACGGTGTTTTGGCCAACTGCGTCTTCATAGACGAGTGTGGGTACAACATCTGGACGCGTCGCACCCAAGGAAGGGCACCACGAGGTGTTCCCGCAAGGAGGGTGGTACATGGGCAACGGGGCCGTAACTGCAACGTATCGTTCGCCGTTTCCGCAGCAGTTGGTCTCGTGCACCATGAAATGGCTTTCGAGACTGTCACCCGAGCAAGTTTCGAGCGGTTCCTTGCCGCAACAGTTGCAGAGTGCAATGAAATGTTCCCTGATGA